GACTTAGGAGTCTTTTAAACATCAAAAACCATCGCAGTTTCCTCTCTCTCCCCAGCCTCGCTCTTTGTCACGCGCTGGGTGTATGGCCAGCCTGTTTCCACTACCTAGAAATCCCAGTGCTTCTGTTCTCAGTCTTTCTGAACATGCATAGCCAGAAGACAGCTGCCCTGCACCCCTGCTCCTGATGCTCGACTCCTCTGCTCACTTGGCATTTGCTTTCTTTAGCAGCTGCATGGATCCCACAGGCCTCAGCTGTAGAAAGGGCTCCATCCTGGGATGCCGTAGGGGTTCAGCATGGCAGCTCTCGGGAACTGCTCTGTTCCTTTTTTATCATGGGCTGTCACCACAGGCATGAGTGGAGAGGGGCAAAGTCTTCACTGCCTGGGACGTTGCTGACTAAGTAGCTCTCCATCTCTTTCCATGCTTAGGGCTTCCTGCGCGGCATGGGAAGCAGCTGACTAGACAAGACTTTTATATTCATTTTAAAATGTGCCAATGCTGGTTTGCAGAATCCATTGAGTTGCTTCACTCTGAATTTCTCTTTGAGTTTGTATACTTTAAAAAAAAAAAAAATCCCCCTCCTGCAGTCTTTCTAGTATGTTGCTCTATTCAGCTGTGTTATTTCCTAAAGAGAAAAAAACAAACTGTCAAGACACATAGTCTGTGAGATTCTCCCAGTCAGAAGTAAGTACATACGTCAGTGTCATTCGGAAGGTGAAATTCGCTTTCGCTGTGCTTTTGAAAGCCTAGGAGCTGTTTCAAATGATCCTTTATACCATACAGCCACCGTTTAGCCATAAAAGAAGCAGTTTGCAAGATCTGATCAGGCTTAAGCAAACAGTCCTGTGTTGATGTGTACAAACTCTACCCATTGGCAAAGGGAAGCACTTTATTAAAATTCCTTGTAATTAACTGTGTGCTGATGGTGGTTTCCATAGTGACAGTGTAATGGGGGAACAGCCAAGTACATATACACCTCACTTAGCACCTTGCAGTCTGGTTTTGAGCTTTACTTTTTAAATTATTTTAATTTTATTTCTCAGATATTAATTGTACAGATTAATGAGGTTCACTCCATTCATCAATATGCGGTGCATTGCACACACTCACCCACCCTTCTGCAATCTGGGAACCCCCCATTATTCAATTCTCATCACCCTTCCCTGTTCCTGAAAGTCCCTCTTGATTTGTCTGTATTTCCCCACATCTTTCCTGTCCCCCTGCCTTCTGTTCTATTCAGCACTTCTACAGGGTTGACATCTTGGTTTCCATCCATAAATGAGAAGGTGTGTCTTGCTGCATCTGCCTTCTTTCACTCAAGACACCTTCTCTAGTCATCCCGTCTGTATCACATCTGAAAAGTATTCTATTATGTAATTGGACTGCATTTCTTTACCCACATATTTAATATGGGGCATCTAGGTTGGTTCTGTATTTCGGTTATTGTGAATGGTGCTGCAGTGATCTTGGGGGTGCAAGTCCCTTTTAGATATAAATACTTCATCTCAGATCATGTGGTACTTCCACTTTTAGTTTTATGAGGAGTCTTGGTGTTTTGTTTTGTTTTTTCCATAATGACTGCACTACTGTCCATTCTCACCAAGAGTATGTAAGAGTTCCCATTATGTCTTATGTTTTGATAATAACCATTCTAACTGGAGTGAGATGTTATTTTGTTGTTGTTGTTGTGTTGTTTGTTAAGAATCAAACCCAAGCCTAGGAAATGCTAGGCAAATGCTGTGGTGCAGAGCTGTGTCTCCGGCCCTTGGTTGGTTTGTTTATAGACAAGGTCTCATTCTGTAACCTCAGCTGGCCTAAGGTTTGCCTGGCTGAACTCAAACGTGTGGTTCTTCGGCCGTAGCTTTGTATGTGCTGGGATTGCAGGCTTGAGCCAACACACCGTACTCACTGCAGTTTGATTGCATCTCCCCTGTGATCAGGGAGAGTGGCCATTTGCCATGTGCCTGCTGGCCATTTGTGGGTTTCATTTTAAGAGGTGGCTGAGTAATTCTTTAGCCTGTTTTAAAATTAGAGTGTTTGGATTTTGATCTTCCTCTTTTTCAGTTCCTTTTGTATTCTGAGCGTGACTGTGCGGTGCTCCATTTGCAGATATTTCTCCTCACCTGTAGGTCGTCTCTTAATCCTCTTGTCTCTTTTCTTGTGCTGGCATTTCTTACTGTGATGTGAGCTCATTTGCGTATTTTGACTTTTGTTGCCTGTGTATTTAGATTGCTATTTAATTTTTTCTTGTCTGTATTAATGTCTTAAAGAATTTCCCTTATTTTCATATAGTCATTTCATGATCTCAGGCTTAAGAGTTAGTTAGATCTTTAATCTGTTTTGAATTATCTTCCTTGTATGGTGAGAGAAAAGGATCCAGTTTTATTCTTCTGCATAAGCATATCCAATTTTGTTCACACACACACACACACACACACACACACACACACACACACACACACACACACACACACGAGAGAGAGAGAGAGAGAGAGAGAGAGAGAGAGAGAGAGAGAGAGAGAGAGAGAGAGAACACCATACACATTGTTAGAATTGTTCCAGTCCAAGAAAGGATCTTTAATGTCTTGTTGGGAATAAGCAAGCCCATACTAATGGTTGAGACCTATGCAATCAAATTTGTACAGTGAGTATCAACAACAATAGTAAGAACAGGCTCTAAATCACAGAACATGTGGAACAGTGGAGCTGGTAGAGCTGAGGGGGCCTTCGGTGAGCACTGCCCACTGTCCTCTCTCCAGTGCTGTCCTTATAGCCTGTGGTGCTATGGGACTGTAGCTGTTCCTGTTCTGCCCAAAGGCAGCGCTGCAGAAACACTGTCTGTCAGAGCATCAAGGATGGGTCTCAGGTCTCACCTGTGACTTGCTCAAGTTCATGCTAACCAGAAGAGGAGGTTCTTGAAGGCAAGAGAGAGACGTTCTTTGGTTTCCTTAGTGGGGAGTGACATTTACAGTGAGGGTTTCTGGCAACCAAAGCTCTAGGTACTAGGTGTTCTGTGTCTTGTGGGCCACAGCATCTTCTTTACCTGTTTTATTTGCTTTCCTCTTGGTACAGAATTATTTCACTCATCATTTCCCCTTCCTGATAAGTTCAGCAAGTCTCTCTAGATCTCTTTGTAGGTAAGAGAACTTTAAGCCACAGCTCCAAACCTAACTTGCTTGGTTTCTGCATAGTTCTGAATTGGTCTCGGTGTGACATGGATTATTAAGTGTTTGGGTACTTCAAGGCTTGTTTCTCGTATGACTCTCCAGCACAGGGTGAGCTCAGACTTCTTTGCCGCCGAATGCCTACACATCCTGGAACAAAATAAATGCTGAGTAAATGTTGCATGAGTGAATGAAATGTGCATTGAAATTTCTGTTGCTAAGTGTTCTTGGGGAGCATTTTTCTACTAAGTTGACCTGGTTGAGTCTTCTCAAATGAGTCAGTATGGACTGAAGTCACTAGCTTTCAAAGTCCCATGATAAGGGCCTTCAAATTCCCTTCTAGTTTAGGCACTAATTTGCTATCAAGGTTGATTTGATGAGCGTAAACAGTAGGCTGCGAGAGTATGTGTTTAGCTTTCCTGAGTTCATGGGTTTAACCCTCAGCATCCAAACTAAACAAATAGTAAACGCTGGAGACGAGATAGTTCCCATAGTAACGACAGCTTCACGACTCCTTTGTTCTGAGCACCAAGGAGAACGAATCAGCTGGGACACCACCACCTCCATGTCTTCTGGTTGCCCCTAATCTCCCCCAGCAATGTTGATGCTGGTGGCAGGAACTATGCATTTGGCTTATGAGTGGAAGTTCTTATTTTGGTAAAATGAATTCATAAAACCAGGGGAATGTGGTGAAGGTGTGGGAGAAGGAAGGTTCACCACCACCCTCTGCTTCTGCAAGGTGTGCTCGCCCTTCACCCTAGAATGGCTTTCTCTTGGGACACCAAGGTCTTCTGTCTTTCTCTCAACGGAGTCTATGTGTTGGGTATATCCTCTTTTTATTCCCAGTCACACTGCCATAATAAAAGAACCATTCTACTCTTGGGGGGGGGGGGACGACAAAAACAGCTTCCCATTTTTAGGTAAATGTTGAGCCAAGTTCTCACTGACATAAACGTGGACATCAAGTGCTTCTTGTGTGGTTCCTTCCTTCCCCAGTTAAATGATCCTGCTCCTAACCAGTTCACAGAACCATCTGCAATGGCAGCAGCCATCATGGCTCTTCTCTAATGTCAGGCCCAAACTTTTTACTGTTTTATCATGCGACAGAGAAAATCATTTTCATGAGCATTCTGGAAGTGAACTATGTATTTGTTATTACCTTCAACACAGTTACCATGATAATATTTATTTCAAGGGCATGGTCATGGCTCCAGTCACTTTCAGAAATCTCTTTTTAGCATCATCATTGCCTTGTTTCCTTTGTATGTTGAAATTGGTGGAATCCAGCTGTATAGGAATATATGGACAAAAATGTGGACATGTGGATATTTTCACATTCCTCAGTTCTGTCATGTTTGCTCATCTTTTTCTCTTTAAGTCAGGGAAGATCTGTCTTTGGGTTTTTATTGCTATGAAGAGACACCATGACCATGGCAACTCTCACAAGGAAAACATTCAGTTGGGGTGGTTTGCTTTCAGAGGTTCAGTCCATTATCATCATGATGGGGAGCATGGTGGTGTGCAGGCAGACATGGTGCTGGCTACATCTTGATATGCAGGCCATAGGGAGTCTACTGAGACACTGGGCGGTGTCCTGAGCATAGGAAACCTCAAAGCCTACCCCCACAGTGCCACACTTCCTCCAACAAGGCCACACCCACTTCCACAAAGCCACACCTCCCATGAGATCATGGGGGCCAATTACATTCAAACTACCACAAGATCCAAATATTTAATAGTTGCTGTTATATATAAGGAATGCTACCTCTGCCTTAAGCAGAGTTTTCAGTAAAACCTACAGTGGAAATATGACGGATTTTCTTTTATAATCTGCAGGAAATGTTTGATGTTATATTGGATGAGAATCAGCTTGAGGATGCCTGTGAGCATCTGGGCGAGTACTTGGAGGCATATTGGCGTGCCACCCACACGAGCAGCAGTACCCCCATGACCCCATTACTGGGGAGGAATGTGGGTTCCACGGCCCTTTCACCATACCCCACAGCAATCTCTGGATTACAGGTACTGCATTTTTGTCTGTCTGTTCGTTTGTCATATAACTTTAGCCACCTTATTTTTAGGATCCAATCGATAATTAAGATGAAGACTCCGATTGTTCCTAATCTGAAGAAGCATGAGGAAAGGACATAGTATTTTAAAACACTGTGGGGCTGGAGAGATGGCTCAGCAGTGAGGAATGCTTTCTGCTCTAGCAGAGGACCCTGGTTCAGTTCCCAGCACCCACATGGTGGCTCACAACCTCCTGTGACTTCAGTTCCAGGCAGTCTTACCTCTATGGGCACCTGGCACACATGTGGTACACAGACATACAGGCAGGCAAAAAATTTATACTTAGAAAATAAATAAAACCTTAAAATTTGTTTTAATTAAAGAAGAAAAACTAAACCTTACACTGATCCTGACCTGTCACTGATAAAGCCCTGCCCTCCCCACAGTTTCCCTTTCTGGACAGTTTTGCTATGGATTTTACTTGGATCAGTTCATCTCTGGTAGACTCCATATCGAGTCAGTGTCATTGTTCACAACTTCTGCATGGCACCACGGGCAGCCAAGCAAGATATATCAGGACAGATGGGCCTCTTGGCTGTCTTTAACTATTCTTGGTCCACAAGCTGCTGAGCCTGCCGCCCCCCACCTTGTACAAACAGAACGGGTGAGCAGATTCGGAAATGGTGACAGATCCCTGAGTTTCCAGGGGTATCTAAGGGCCTGCCTTGGTCAGCATAGGGAATCTGGGGATAAGTCAGAGAAAGTCAGAGTCGGTCTCTTCTGCTGCTCTGCTGCTTCAGTCAGAACTAGATGGTGCAAGCTAGAGGCATTGTGATACAAGATGAGCCTCGCCTTTCTGAATTAATTATTATTTACCATTTATCAAGCAGCTGGAATGGATCCAAACCCCAAGCTGAGGAACATGCAGTCAAACGAGCCTGTTGGCAACATGACTGGTTTTGTTTTAATGGGTTATAATGACAGTCATCATTGAAGATTTTGTGGAGTTAACTCTAAGCTAAATGGCACTCTCTGAAACGCTATTATAACTACATTACTCTGCGGCAGACAGCACCTCTGTAAGCAGAAACCCTGCCATGTAAATGAGTTTCTTTTAAGGCTAGAAATGATATGGGAAATGGACGATGGCAACGTTCGGCGTGTCTGCATGTACCAGCGCTATGTCTTGCCTCGTTTGCCTCCCTGTGTGCCTGCCTCAGAGGAACATTCCCATTGGCTTTGCCTGCCTCTGGGTGGCAATAAAGGGAATGGATGAGCGATCCGGTAAACTTTGTAGTGTTGGGGGAGCTAATGTTGCACTTTGTTTATAACACATGGCCCTACGACTGTCCACCTCCAGTAGCTCCCCCAGCGTCATTAATGAGTTGATGTGGGGCCCTTTACCCTGTGGCCTCCTTCTCCTAGTAACCACAGGTGTTTGATGGCATGATCTCTGGCCCACTGAATAAGTTCCCTTCTGTGTGAAAGTCATGTACCTGACCCTGAGTTGCATCGGGTTCCTGTGTCTAATCCATGTGACCTACCTAAGCTGGTAGACACAGACAGACAGGTGTTCCGAAAGTAGAGAAGAAAGTCAGATAACATATTCTGGGCCATCAAATAACTGCCTTAAGATGCTAATTTCAGTTAATAATGTTGAAAGAGTTTGGTTTATATCTGACTATTATTTTTGCAGAACTCAGTTAGAAAGCAAGAATATATAAAGGCCTGAATTAGCTGGCTCCACAGTGCTGTGCATTCCTTTGGAAAGAATATTGCTGAGAGTTTCACCTCCATGTCAGATACAGAAACAAATGCATTATTTAGTGGACAGTACAGATAGCAATTTCAGTAATTTTTTAAGCTATAAGGAACATCAATCTAGAGCAACATGAAGCAAGTGTAAAGTGTGTGACTTTAAGAAAGAAAAAATTGTTTATGAATTCGTGAAAGGAACCAAATTATAGATCTTATTCTAAATTTTATTTCCCAATAATAAAATAATCCTCTTTTTTGCAATAGGAGAGAATTATTAAGCTTATCTAAATAGATTATGCTCCGTTTAACACTAAAACAGTTCTGTGTTTCAATAGGAAGCATAGTCATTCGGCATCGTATACTTACACCCATAAACTATCAGTAATGAAGCATCTGTGTATGGTGTATCCCAAAGAAAAAGACCAGGTGCTTCAAGTAGAACATTTATGTATCAAATGCCTTATTAGGTCAGTTAGCATCCGTTTTACAGACCCTGTTATTGCACATGTACTAACTGTTCAGATGAACGAAGTGGACTTCATCTAACCAGTGAACCCTCTGCTATTTTCAGAGTCAGCGAATGAGGCACAGCAACCATTCTACGGAGAATTCTCCCATTGAAAGACGAAGCTTAATGACCTCTGATGAGAATTACCACAACGAGAGGGCTCGCAAGAGTAGGAACCGCTTGTCTTCCAGCTCCCAGCACAGCCGAGATCACTACCCTCTGGTGGAAGAAGATTACCCCGACTCATACCAGGACACTTACAAACCCCATAGGAACCGAGGCTCCCCTGGGGGATACAGCCATGACTCCCGACACAGGCTTTGAGGCTGCGGAAGCAAACACACAGAAACCCTCATCTGTCGACAATTTACCATCGCACTGCTAGGATAAACCGATCATCTTAATTTGGCAAGCACAGCACAGTATCTGCTGTGGGGGTGGGCTGCTGCCATTTGATTTAAGGGGCAAGAATTAAATCGAAGTACATTATGCCCTGGAGTCTAGACGGGTATTAGATGCCCAATCATATAGGCATTTTTAAGTGTTACATTTACATGATAACAGTACATTTTGTTTTCTTCATAGAGTTTAGACACATCAATTTGTAACTTAGGGTACTTATCAAGGCACATATAAAATAATTTCCCGTGTAGGAAATTCCAAATGACCAGTTCCAGTTGGAACCAATTTATAAACCAATTCCTGTTGGAATTTGGGTGAATTGACTGGAAAGTCTACTTGAGCATGTTGAAATCAATTGAAAAATCAGGAAAAAAAAATACCCAATAAGAAAATCAAAATACCAATAGAAACCCCAAACCAGCTGTGGTATTTATTTGCTGGAAGCTAAATTTACACTTCAAGTTGGAATGTATAAACATTTAAATATAATATGTTAATGTTGCCAGAATGGCTTTTCAAACCTACCAAATGTATTGATAGTGCCAAAAAATAAACCTCAGAAATCTTAATGCAGAAATTATATAATTGCCTCAGATTTTAATATTTGTATTTTTCCTGATACAGCTGTTGTATTCCAGGTATTTTGCTTTCTGTTCAGTCAGGAGTTAGCCAGTTTGAAGCTGACAAAATCAGGAGGGCAAGTTTATCAGCAATGAGAATAGTAAAGAGAAACCCAAGCGTGGCCAGTTATAGGAAATGGGAAATGAGGAGTCGTTTCTTCTGTAATCAGTCTGCGCACAAGCACACACATCTGGAGTCAGGTGACAGAGACAGGGCCAGACCTGGGGCAGAGGAGGTCATCCATCCCACTGCGCACCGGCCCTGGCTCAGGGATTCTGCCAGCATGGCTGATGTCTTTCCCTAACTTCACTCAGTCTCTGTGTTTAAACACAAAGAATGGTTAAGCACTACGCCATAGTTTTTAAATCAAGTTAACAGCTTTCTGTTTGTTTGTTTTTCATGGACATAATCAAATCAGGTACTGAAAGTTATGTTTTCACAAGAAAAACTAATTGGGAAAAGTTAAGACACTGAATTAAAATCTTGCAGAAAAACAAAACAAAACCCTGACAGATTCAGAATATATTTGTTCACTAAAAGTAAGGCACTTTGAATGCAGGGCCTTCGAGAGATTACAGACTGCTGTGTTCCATTGCTAGTGAACAGCCTTTCGATTTCCAATGAGTGTGTTTATGGAATGGGTGACCCATATCCTAAAGATTAAAGAAGACTTTAATCCAAGAAATTATTGAAATTGACTCTTTTGTACAAGAAACAACTGTCTTTATGAAAGGACTTGTTTCTAAAATGACCCAGTGCATGTGTTTTCTAAAACCCCAAGTGGAGCTAGACATAAAGGTCTCTTTCTACTAATGCCTTGAAGTCAATTTTTGAAAACGAGTATAATTCATTTTGTATTGTTATTTTTCTCCAAAAATTTCAAGACCTGGGCCCTCTAAACTACGTACCAGTTCATTCATTTTCCTGATTGAGAGAAAAAGTTTCCTATTCTTGATCAGTTATTCATATCTTGAATCCCATCACCCTCATGTGCCCTCCCCTTGTCTTGACCGTATGTGCAACCCGTTATGAACCTGCTTACCTGACAATGAGGCTGCCTGAAATTTTGTAAGTAATCTCAAACATTTGATACATTTAAACATGGGCTCAGTACAATGGACAAGCTAACGTATGAGACTGGCTTGTGAAGCTCTTCCGTCATCTAGCGAGGCTTACAGGATTTTCTGTTAAGACTTTTAAGAGAGCTATATTCATTGGGCTCTTTAATAAGCATATAATCTTCCATTACTGAATACTTTGTTAGAGCACAGAAGAGCATTTTCCAGCAAACAAACTATATTTATTACATGTATAGCACATATTTGCATGAGAAAGAAAACATTAGCCAAACACTTTCCTGTATGCTTTACTGGTTTCTTGTCTGTGCGCATTAAAGCATTTAATTGCAGAGAGTGCACTCGGGTGTATAAATTTAGAATAGACTGCTGTTCAGCTTTTTCTGCAGTAGCATTAGCAATTTGGTCATTTAACTACTTTAAGATATTTATATTTTATGGCAGGTAGCTGTAACAGCATTTACATATATTTCCTAGTCAACAAGGGTACCATTTCTCTCCACTTTGAAGAGTCACTTGTTCTTCAGACCTCTCCAGCCTTTCTTCACCCCCCCTTTTGCCCTTCCATGTCATGCTGAAAGAGGGAGGCCCATTTCATCTGTGCACAAAACTCCCCCATCACTTGCCACCAAAAGTTCATACCTATTTTGCTTTGCAGTCCTATTCAAAAGCTAATAATGTTGGAAAGGGTAAAAATGCATATTTTTGATGGGTGTATTTACTATTTCACTTTAACTTGGCATATCTTTCTTTCATCTTCCTCTTCTAATAAGTGTCTCTCCTTCAAAGGAAGAAGAGATATGACTCTTCCTTTCTTTTTAAAGGCTCAGAGTTGCTTCTATAAATGACTAAAATCCAGATATATACTAAATAAAAAGTTTTATTTTTGCCCAGCATACCAAGAACCTCTAGGAAATACATATTACAAGTACTTTGTTTTAATTCATTTCACTCAAAATGGCAAATGATGACAAGCAGGAGGAATATTTCTTTATCATTTGAAGCTGTTTCACTTATAGAATAAACCATGTTAGAATTCTGTGACTTTTTTATGATATGTACTAATGCAGACTCATCCAACAATGTGAAAATGTGGTCCTGGAAAAGGAAGAAATGCAATTTGTGGGTCCTTGTGCTTATTTCCAAGGCTATAGTGTCACTCCAATATTATAATCAACACTGTTACCTTGTTTATGCTAACACTTAAAACAACGTGTAGTGGTGTTTATAAATGACTGATGATTCGCTCTCATCTTTCTATAGCTCTAAAGGGGAGAAGATTTGGATTGTTAGCAATTTGACACATGGTCTTTCCTAAAGAGTCTCAGTTGTGTGACTATACAAATCATTGCATTTCATCCTTAACGGAATGAATTTTAAAGTCTGAAACAAATTGAGACAACTACTAGTTCCACTTTAAATAATGCTATTTACTCCAATTATTATTGTTGTTTGCAAAAATGTATTTTTAGAACGTTAACCTCTTTTCATACCTGCATACTTGAACTTGTCTTTTGTTGGGGGGCCTTAAATTTCATAATAGAGAACGGGGAAGTAAAAAGGGAATGAAGATGAGGAAATTGTGGCAAAAGATAGCTCACAATCTTCAGCTCTTTAAATGAACATATCCCCAAATACTGAGACACAGTATGTCAGTTAAGAATGTTTCTAGGCAACCTTAATTTGCAAGCTAGTATATTTTCTTATATAATTTTATTTTGCTATTTGCTAAAAAACAAAAGATCACAATACCACCATACAAATTGCCCTCTCTAATGATATGTATACTACCTCTTCTGTAGAGAAAACTGTCTTTGAAGGGAAGAGTCCTGCTGATAGTGTCTGTTCTGCCAACAGTGCTGCAGTTACGTGTTTAAACGTTTAAACTCTGCCTGCCCTTTAGATTTTTACATGTTTTCAAATGCTCTCACCGTGATTTCATTTCTTCCATGTCAGTAAGGTTTTTCTTGGAATAGATTCACAGCTTATCATGAAGTGAGTTTAATTTAACAAGAAGCCATCCTAAGAAACAAAGCAAACTGAAAGGAACTACCTCTGTGTGCAAAGTGTAGCCTACAGTTCAAGGTCTAAGGAAGAGAAATCCAGACACTTGCTGTTTAAAGGCAAAGTTGGTTGATCCTTGACTTGTATGGGCACCGAGGGTATGCTGTAGCCACTTACTGGGTGTGGATCTGCATTGTCTAAAACTCCCATGTAATTGGAACAAACTTCATATCAATGTTTCAAATAAATGCTTATGTAACCCTTATTCCTTTATATTTGCCTTTGTCTTTCATGACAATGTTACAGTTTTTTAGTTATATAAAACTTGAATAACCATGAGTGAAAACTTTACAGAAAAGTATGTAGTAAAATCTGTTTTATTAGTCCCTATATCTTTAAACACTGTCAACACTGTAAATGTTAACTAGGTTACTTACTCCAGCTGTGTCTATGGGCAAACCACAGTCCTTCTCTTTTAAATGACAATGATGATTAAACCAGTCAACTAAGAGCTGTTAGATGGACATTAAGAATAACTTTTTGTTAAGCAATCTAGTTAATCAAAATAGTAAAACTGGCTTATATGGGCAGATAGCTCCAGCATTCAGAAATGACTCTTCAAGGTTTCCTCTTGTGTTAAAAGAACCTTTCTCCAATGAAATGCATCCTCTGATAGCAATGTTTTTATCTACTTGTGGATAATTTAATACCAAAATGCTGCAAGTAATGAAGGTGTATTATGAGGAGACTAAAAAGCATCTCATCAGATAATCTTAATTAAGGGCTGTAACTCCTACTTGCTATAAATACATATAAATAAGAGGGAATAATGCTGAGCTTTGGGGATCTATAATTTTTCATGAAACTTTCTTTTTGGTGGATGTAAAATGTTCACAGAGAGATGGAAGAAAATGTTACCGATGAATTTATAATAGTTTAGAGAATACACTAATTCTTCCTCATGTGAAACTTATAAAGAGTTAAAATGAGAACTGAGAGCTGAAAAGTAGCCGGTCTCTAGCTTTTCAAGCATTTGGGGTTATATTTTGAACACTTAAATCTCCCAACAAATGGCTCTGTCTATATTTATGCAGGGGCCTTTCTCGCCCTGCTTGTAAGCCACTTCACACCACCGAAAAACAGTGTGAATTCCGTGTGCACAGGGGTATTACAGATGCGGGGTCATTAACGCTATATTGTTGCATACTATTTTTCATATGCCTTACAATATTTTCTGGGATGTTATTAAAACGAAAGCATTTTATTGCCAAAATAAATCTATGTTGTTACTTCTGCATTAGCAGTAGAAAAATAATGTAGCAAAAATATATATTGTACAGTACAAAATTATAATATATATATATTTTGCCAATAAATGAAAATAGATTGAGGAGGAAGAAGCACATGTGTTCTTATAGCACAAACAACAAAAACCCACTGTTAAATTTGGCAGTCCTGTTTTTAGAAGTGTGTAGATTTGGTTCTGTGTTTTATCACATCTATCTCATCTCTCACCTTTGTAACTTTGCTGCTTGATATTTTCCAGCAATTTATTTCATAGCCTTCAATCTGTGAGTGTAATTTCCTTATTTTACCCCGTTATATAAAACATATGAGTTTTATTTTGTGTTAAGACTCATACTATTTTACTCTATTTTCTGTTCTTGTTTCTCCTCCTTTGGTAACAAATGGCACACAGGTGAGCTCACAGGCTCCTCTGGGCTTTGGATGTTTGAAAGTTTATGTTTTTTCCCCCCAGCCTCAAGTTAGAGATCAGTAAAATGTCCCCATGGAAAAATATTAAGCAGGGATTCTTTGTTTTGTAATTGATACTATTTCAAGCATAAGTTAAAGCCATTAGCTGTATTTTTAAGCGGTGGGAGGGAATAAAAAATAACATTATTAATAGGAAACATACTAAAAGTAACTATGGCAAAATGATATAAAAAGATTCCCCCTATTCTGAGGGCTGTTGACACCCCAGGCTATTACTATGTCTCTGCTGATGTGGTGGGGAAAATGCCTTTGTCAAATAACTTTTCTTTTGGTTATTTATTTTAATAATTTGTTCCTTTCATTTTTGTTATCTAGGTATGCGTAGCGTTCTCCAAGGCATGCTGGGTAAAACACACTATGCAAATGTATACGCGCTGCATGCTTTGTTCTCCCTCTGCTTTAGTGGCTTTAAAGAAAAAAAACGTGGTGTTATTTTTGTGAACAAAGACATTTAACAAAGAAAATGCAGAGTGCATGCATACAGTATCCTAATTTCTATGGATTTGTTTTATGGAATTTAAATGTGTACAAAAAACTGCATTCATTTTTTTCTTTTATATAATAAATTAAAAAAAAAACACCGAAACCAGCATTCTACCTCTCATTTATATTCTGGAAATGTACAGAGGAAATGCCAGAAATCACAGGGATATTCCTATAGCTTTTAATGGGAAATAAATCTATACATTTACTCTTTAAAGAAAAAAAAAGATTCAATGAAGCGACTATTTCCCAATTATTCTGCTAGATTCTATGATACAAAAAAATGTTGTATTAGAAAGAATGTATATGTTGTACACACATGTGGAATATACCAGAATAAATGTGTGAAATAAGACTGAATACAGAAAATATACTAGGTAACCCTTAATGTTCTCAAGAGACCCTTAAATGGTCAGTGTTGCAGTTGCCAGACATTTCCAGAATAATAGCTCTGGAATTCTGTGGCTGGGATATAGATTATGACTGGACCTTTCACATACACCCCAGTCAGTTGCCTGTGTTCTGTAACAGGATTGGCATTTCACTTTCATCTCCTTGTGGTGTATAAGAAGCTCAAGGGAAATGCAAGATGTTAGTAGAATCAGAATTACACAGTATGCATTATAGCCAAGTTATTCCACAAACTTTATCACATTTAATTCATGTGAGCTCCCTGAAAAAGCAGGCAGAGAAGAGATTAATAGACCCAATTACAATTAAGAAAACCAAAAGCTTAGTGTTACTTCTTTCTCTGAAGCATTTACAAAAGAATAATACACACATCTAACACTCTCCAGCGAAGTAGTAAACTGAAGCACACAAAGCCGTGTGCAAATACAAGGTGTTGGCTGTATGAATAATTTTGTTATTAGAGGGGTCTTACCTAAGACCACCCCAACAACCAGCCAACAATCTGAAACTCCCACCTGGAAAACAACGGCTCCTCACTGTTGCATTGACAGGGTATTTGCCTTAACCACCTCTCTTGTCTTTAGCACATTTCCATTGGGCTGTAGAAAGAAATATCTTGTCTTTTCATATAACATGCAGGTCAGTCTAACCAGTGCCTTCCAGCAATCACTAACTACAAGTTATTCAACGTCCCTGTGTTCACATCTGTTACTGTCATATCTTCCTTGCATGACCGTTAGATTTACATAATTATATTAGTGATGTCCACTTCTTGTGTTCCTTTGTGGAACATCAAACTTATTTTAACAGGCAGTTGCTCACTTGGCCAAAGTTTATCCTCAGGCACCTTGAAGGCTGGTCTCAACTGGGGCCCATTCTTAGACTCAGCTCCTCTTTCAACATTCAGGCATCTACTGAATGTCCTAAGCTTGAGTTTTCTCTGACTGAAGGGATCACTTTACATTAATGACTCCTGACCCTTTGAAACAATTACCTGGGGATTATTCTGCAACAATCCTGGTACGTTTTCCCGCTAGAAATTGTTATTAGCCAACTACCTAGGATTTCATCTTATACAAGTCATAGGGAGCAGAACACTCAATTTTCTCCTAGTGCAATTTCTGTAGATTTTTTTTTTCCTTCTCTCGATGACTCTGCTTCCCTAATTCCAGCCTCCCTGACTATGGGAACAGAGCTGTGTCTTTGTGGTCAGGGACCGTCCACTCCTTCTGGAGTTAACTGGGAATTGTTTTTGCTAAGGCAGAAATACAGAGCAATGGTAAAGCTCACTGTTTCTCTTTAGTTAGGGTTCACAATCCAGAGCCTGTTTTCCAATATCTGGAAACAGTTGTTTCTTGTGTTATAATCAGCGCTCTGTTTATTAACAGTAGAATGGTAAAGCAGATGTTTTATGTTCTCATACCTTAAAGCAGTAGTCTTTTATGGCATTTTGCTCATGACTTTAAAAATGGATAAAGTATTTAGAAGGTCTCAGAAGGAGAAACAAATAGTTTGACATCCCTCATCAAAGATTCCCAGTTTTATCTATAGTACCAATTTTGTATTTTATCTATTAAAGTTAGCAAAGATTTTACTAGCCAAATCCAATCCCTCCCCTTTTTGTGAGGGGCACTTGGAAAATAGTCCATTTCCTTAACAGAGTTCTAACACACGGAGCCCTAACTTCACAAGTAAATATGGGTCTGGCATACATTAATAAGTTGTCAGAGATGTGTGGGAGTTTGCAAAAATGTCTCAAGAGTTGCTAAAGTGTTGCCTACATTGGATGAGAATGGAAATACTAAAGAGTTCATGTAAGCTGGTTATGCAAACATCGTTTTTCTAAAAAGTCTACAAGCTATTAAATAAATCCAGATATAATATTCTAAATGTGCAGACTAGTCTAATGACTTTATTCTCCTTTATGTATGTCTCAAAGACTGGCATTTGGACACAAGCCTCCAAAGAAGATGAAGAACTCCCTTTTCCATACATTGAGATAAGACCGTGTATGGTTAGGAGGAGTCTGGTAGAAGGGTACAGTGTGTGGATGAGGTGGTAACAGAACAGCCCAAGTGCCTTCCACAGGTCTCCCACATTTTCCCAGCTCTACCTCTTTTCTTTCCTTCTTCCTTTTTAAAAATCAAAGTTAAAGAGACTAGAAAGAAATGAAGCTGCTTCGGCTTTTTGTTTATTTTTGTGGAAGAAGTAAACAGCTGCAGTTCCTCCTTCCTACGTAATTCTTTTACAGGAGTCAAGACTATCAGAGTCGTCTGATCACGTCACAGATCAACCCTACACTGCTTCTACATCAGGAATGTTGAGATCGGGAGATCTAACCTGCTTAGCTAAAAGGAACTAAAAGAAGTAGACAAAAACGAAGCAGAAACATGGACAAGAACTCTTCTGATCAAGTTCACCAACGATTTTTATATATTACATATATTTTATATGTTTTTTATATTTTAGTTTCAACCACTTGTCCTGCAGGGGAGGCAGGGCTGGACACTCGCATACCCAGAGGCACAAACTGTTCAAACTGTAGGAGAGAAGACTGAAGAATACAGAGAACATTTGGCCATCTATGAGGAAGGTGACTCTTGGATGAGAGGAAAAGACATTCGGGGCCATAAAGAACAGTGACTGTCTGTCTACAGTGTTTTTGGACTCGACCGCTCCGCACAGACAGCTTGTGTGACCACTAAAACGGGGGAGACTTGAAGAGAACTGCTCGAACCAAGAGTGGCCTGAGAGTGGAGGGAGAACGGAGTGGGGGGAGAGCGCCAAGGTGCAAAGACAGAGGAAAGGGAAATTGCGACGACTTCGGCTACTGCCAAGGGGTAACGGGCTCAACAGAGACTTAAAGCTTACGGTCGTCGGGACCCAAACATGGGACTTTGGGAAGTGTGTGGAGGGCTGGAGATGGGCATGGTTACATACTTGCACTGTGGCTCCAGGCTCAGAAACAACCTCGAACCCAGACACCAGCGCGACAGCCCCGCGGCGACCTTCGGCCCCCCGAGCCCCGCCTCCAGCTCCGCGCCTGCGCATTGCCCCCGCCCCGCCCCGTCCCGCCCCGCCCCTGCCCCAGCGGCCACTGGAGAGGAGCTGGGGGAGGACGGTGGCCCGCGAGGCTCGTGCAGACAACGCGGCGGCGATGTCCGCGAGCCAGGCGAACGCCGCGGCGGTAGCGGCGGGGCCTCGCGCGTGGCTGGGCGGCCTGGGCTGCGGCCTCCCCGCCGGTCCCTGGGAGCGGGCGCGCGGCGGGCGCGGGAGCAGTGGCGGAGGCCCCGGCGCGTCCTTCTGCCCCGCAGCCTGAGCCCGGGCGGCTGGAGGGCTCCGCTGCCCGAGGATGGGAATTCTCTTCACCCGGATCTGGAGGCTGTTCAATCACCAGGGTGAGACTGGGCCGGGCGGGGAGGTCCCGGCGGGTCGCCTTTGTCTCCCGGGAGCTGGGGAGAGAGCCCTCCCGCCATACACCCATTGCTCGGATTGGATCGCCAGCGCCAAAGGTGCCCGGTCCCACGCCGGGGGCCTAAGCGCACGACCTGGCCTGCCTCCATCCCCGCCGCCCGCCGCCAGTGGTGTTTGGGCCGCACGGAGAAAAGCTGGGGTTCTGGCAGGGGGAGGCTGGGGCCCCTGGCCTTGGCCCTGGCGGCGCCTTCCGAGCCTACGGGTTGCAGAATGCGGAAAACTGGAACTCGTGCTCGGCTAGTCCGGCTCGCTTGGGGCGGCTCGCTTGGGGGGGGGGGGGAGCCCCACGCCGCGGAATGGTGATGGGTGGCTCTCCTTTGCCTTGTTTGTTTCTGTGGTTAAAGGTCAAGCCTAAGGTCGTTCTCCTTCTTGAGCGATTTTTTCTTTTTATTTGGCCCTGATTAAAGTGCGTCCCTGACAGCTTTGAAAAGCATACCTCGGGAGGCACTCGTTAGCCTTAGGTAACTGGCAGGTTACTGTTCCAGTTCTGCCTAAACGCAGACATTGCCGCGGAATGCATAGGGGATTTATTAAAAAATACGAAATGAGTGTGTGGGACTGGAGAGGATACAGTGCTAACGGACCACATAGTTACTAAAATGAAATGTGCTTTAAAAACAAAAACCTCTAGTTGTAATCCATTCCTTCTCAACAACGTACTGTCTTTTCTCTTGGGTAAGCTGGTGGCGTTGTTGCACCCCCACTTTTTCCAATTAAATCTTAATGAACGGTGGTGCCTACTTTAGACCTTCCTCCTCCAGGATACAGCTGGCTTTATGGGAAGAGACATACTGGGCCTTGTAATCCCCAGTGGGTTTTGCTTTTTTTAATAATAATAATAATAATAAAATGATAATTTAGCTAACGGTACTAAATGAAGTGGAAGGTGGTAAAGAGGATATTCCTATCAACACTGTCTGGTCAGCAGTGTGTGTGTGTGTGTGTGTGTGTGTGTGTGTGTGTGTGTGTGTGTGTGTGTGTTTGCGGGGTGAGCTTCACAATTATCTGTGGATCTAGATATCACCTAGAACAGGAGGAATAATTAGTGGGGCCTACGGTTTTTTAAATTTTCATCTCTAGGTTTGAAGTAATGAAGGTTACATTGTTGTAAAACTGATGATGTTTATGTGGGTAATATTTATCTAGTTCTTTCCTCTATGATCTGGAATTTAGTGAAGCTAGGGTTTCAGTTCTGCTCTGAGGTTTAGAAAAACTTGATGCATTCAAGGGTCTCTGGTATTGTTTTCACTTTCTTCTTTGAGTCAATGATAAAACTGTTTCTGTAACTTAAAAATGAATTATAACTTTAAAAAAAACAGCTTTTTGCAAGTAATAACAGGAATGCATTGGTATCACTACACGTCTGCATTTTTGTGGTACTATTTGCCTGAACATTTAGTCAGTGTTTGAAAAGTAACAGGAGAATTAGTACAGTTCAATTTCTAGAAAATTACCAGTCAGTATAGTGAAATTGAAGTAATTTGTTAAATGGTGTGTTAGTGCACAGGAGCTTCACGGAATTCACTGTTCAGTCTCAGATATTTATTGGTATCTTTGGACCTATGTTCAGTAGGACACGTAAGTCAGGTGTGTCTTGGATGCTTTATATGACAGAAGGTTCAGGACACACATCTGTATTCTTTTCGCAGCCTCGCCTGGAAAGAGGCTTTGGGTAATTGCAGTTTGTTGTGTTGATGAACTCAGACATAGCGCTGTCTTCTGAAAGAGCAGCCAGCTCAGTTAAAGCCGTGATCATGAACTGCCCACTCACTGCTCAATCTAGAAAAGCCAGGGCTTTTATGGAGGTGATGTACAGATTCCGAAGAGCTAAAACTTGATTCTAGATATTGTAATTTATTTACACCACTAGAAGAGTATCTGAGGCTGGGGGAGCTGCTTGAGTTGACTGAGTGCTTGCCTACCTACTTCACCATCCCCAGCTGAGATTAGAGGAGGTGATGGTGGGGTCATCCCAGCACTCAAGATTCAAAAGTAGGTGGGTCAGAAGTTCAAGGTTGCTACACAGTGAACTCAAGGCCATCTTGGGCTACATGAGATTCTGTCTCAAACAAAATAAAGGTTTCAGCAATCCCTCTAAGCAGTTATTTCCCTGGTAAAGAGGAAGCAGAGTTGTACCAGACAGTTGGCAAGGAGACAACAAAGTAATGTCTCTGCTTATTGGTGGTCTCTTCTTTTTCCTTTTTTCTCCCTGTTGGCTCAGTTGTTGTGCTGTGAATATTAGTTTAGGTGTAGGCTTGCCGTTAATAACTCTGTATGTCTAGAAGAGCTCATTATCAGTGGCTTGTTAAACACCTTCTTAGCTCCTGTTTGGGTCATTCTAGGTCAGTGTTTCTCAACCTGTAGGGTCGCAACCTCTTTGGAGTCAAATGACTTTCGCAGGGGTCACTTAAGACCATCAGAAAACGCAGTTATTTACATTAGGATTCATAACAGCAGCAAAATTACACTTATGAAGTAGCAACGGAAATAATTTTGTGGTGATGGTGGGGGGGTCACCACAGCATGAGGAACTGTATTAAAGGGTTGCAGCCTTAGGACGGTTGAGAATCACTGCTCCTGGTGGTGGGAATAAGGCAGGGAATAAAACACAAATCTCCATGTCTTTATGAAGCATTTATTGTAGTCTGGGACAGCAGAGAGGAAACTCAACCTGTCTGTGCAGATAAACTAGCAGCTGGTAATATTAGTGACTTTTGCCACACCGGGTTCCAGGTGTTTCACCAGGGTTGGTTAATCTGCCTCTGTTGAGTTACCCCTCCAAACTTTCTGTTTTACAAAAACACATTAGGGCATTATTTATTTAAATTAATAAGCCTGCCTGGGCTTTTAAACAAGGGTCTCTAGTGCCAGCGTGTTCTCATTATCCCCACACCCACTGCGCACAGGCACGCATACACACACCCCTTTATAAAGATGATGGTGGATGAAAGAACCATCCTGACGCCGAGGCTGTGGAGTTTCCATGTTGACAGCCATGTGTCGCTCTTCTTATGGGTCGTTGGGAAGGGAATCAAGCTCTGAATGAGTTCTGGCAAAGCTGCTCCCTCTGCCTAGATCTGGTGTTGAGGATCTGTTCCTGATTCTGTTCTTTCGAGGGAGTTCAAACATGCAGGCGACTACAGAGGACGGTAACTCGCCAAAGAGTGACTGTACGTCATCAGGAGCCTGGCTCCAGGTGCCACTGTCTGCATTCTCGGGGGGGGGGGGGGGGACACACACACGGACGACACACACACCTGCAGGAGGAAATGCTTGTTCTTGGTGACAGTGTGCTCTCAGGACAAGCTGATTGCAGCGTATGCACCTTTACCCTTAGACCTGGCTCTTGCGTGGCATAGAGATTACTTTTATCTTCTTACCAGTCTCTTGTTTAGTCGATACTAGGTATTTTCTTTGTAAAACTTCCCAACCTCAAATTACTGTAATTTTTGTCTCCTAGACTTTGCATGTTTAATGGTTTCTTGTCCCCCACCTCCACCCCCAACAATTTCTTAGCAGCAAGACTGACTATGCCCCCAAAGCTTCCTCACTGTTCTGTGAATAGCAAGCTTATTTTCAGGTTTTAAAAATAAAATTTGTGATGCTTTAAGTCCCCCAAATTGAATTTTTAGTACAAACTAGCTTGATAGACAGCACTTTCCTATCCCTTGTTACCTTCCAGGCTGATTTCTTTGTTCACTGAAAGATACTTCATTTCCAGCATGCTTTGCGTCAGGCTTTGTAGTGGCTGAGGGAGTAGTAATGAACATAGCAAATGGAGCGTCTGCTGTTGGGACACAACTTGTCATCTACATGCGGTCGGTAGTCAGAGGGATGCAGATTTAGACCACGTGTGGCTACCTGGGTGTGTCAAAGAAAGTGAAGGAGGAAGGACCCATGGACAACAAGAAGTGTTTTCATGACAGAACGTATTGATTGGTAAGGCAAAGCCCAGGTCAAACTCCCGAATCCCAGCAGAGAGTAACCGTGTGGTGGTGTTTGGGCTTTCCTGAGTGCAGGAATTCTGTGAGAAAGGCCCAAATGAAAGCCATACAAAGCAGTAATTGCAATGACTCACAAGTGTCAAAGAGTTGGCATGGCCGAAGTCCGATTGACCTTTGTCCTCAATAACATTGCTTCCTAATATGCTGTATTGTGGGTTCGATGGAGTATTTGTCTTGAAGCACATTGTAAGACAGAATTGTAGCACTTGCTGGCTACAGACTTACATTCTCTGTAGCAAGCTGTTGTGTCTGGTAATGAGGAGGGCAGAGTGATGAAAGAGCGTGAGGGTGGGAGGGGTTGTTTAGTATTAGAACGTGTATGGATGATCTAATCCTGGGGCGTATCAGGGGCAAGCTGGTTTGTGACTATTGCGTTGCCTGCCACCTTTGTCTTTTAGCCTGACACAACTCTTGTCTTAACGTTACAGTTCTCATCATGACTCACACACTATGTCTTTGATTTAGGTCATTGATAATTTATCGTAGGCACATTCCTCTCTGGTTAAGTTGGAAGAGAATTCGGCTTGTGGATGTGAGGCCACATGAGGGGGTGATGCACTGAGTTACAGACTCATCCCTGGGTTGCACTTCTGTGATGGTATTTTTGGCTTTGGTTTTGTTTTGTTTTTACGGCCTGTGGCTCTTGGGAGAGTTTCTTAAGTTTTGTACATGTTTGATTTGAGTTTCTTCTTGGAAATGTCACAACAACCTCCTTGTTATGTTAACTTACATTCCCTTTGTTGATGTTTTAGACATCTCAGTTGAGGTGTGTATTTATGGGTTCGGTGGTGCTGTAGGCCTTGGGTAATTCTGTGAAGTTAGAAGAGCATTGTCTCCACAGTAGAGCATGGTGCTAGCAAACTTAGAGAGTCGCTGAGATCGTCTGGAGATGAGGTATACTGAGCAGGTGTCTGGATTTTAGTAACCAGCCAAGAAAGGAATGAGGAGATTTGGATTAGGAGACACACACACACACACACACACACACACACACACACACACACACACACCCTTTGTCACACCCATCCCTTTTCACCTTCTTCCCAGTGATGTAACTCCATTCTCCTATCTGCTTTATCTGCGGGGGACACAGAAGGACATGTCGCCTCCAAGGCCTCTGACTGGGTATTTTCATCACCTTCTTGCCTTTCCTGCTCTACCTCCACCCAGCCCTCACTTTTGCCTGCTAGGACGTTCATCACTCCCTGTCTTGTAGACTGTAAAATGATGGTTCTTTTTGCTAGCTAAATCCAATGTCTGGCTGATTGTTTTTTTTCCATCTTGGATGGTCTTCCCTGTTAAAAGCTTCCACCATGCCTCCTGATCTGGGTTCTCACAAGGCATCATCTACCATATGCTCCCAGCTCCCTGGCGTCTTTACTTCCAGGCAATCGATCCTTTATTTAGCTTGTATCTGGAGAAAATGAAACTCTTGTGGTATGAACTTCTTCTGCCCTCTGCCTTGCCTTAGTGTATGTTACTGCATGGTGGTTCTGGTAGTATACTTGCCTCACTTGTCTTGTTCGGCATGTGACCAGGTGTGACCCCCTCCCCCCAAAAAAAAGCTTTCTTAGGTGTTTTTTTTTTTTTTTAATGTAGATAACCCTTTCTTATCTAGGAGGTAAGAAAAACAGTGATTTTAGAATCAGGACATAAGTCCTTGAAGACATAGCTAAAGATCACACAACAAAACAGAAACAAAGAACCAAAACTCCTGTGCAAACCAGGCGAGGGGGTTTCCTGCCAGCATCTCCTCCTAGTCAATGTGTCTTTTAAAGCTCAATTTAGAATTTCATTAGAGACAAGTTTTTTAAAATGATTCTTTATTACACAAGGGTCATACCTCATTTAACAGTAAGCTGGCACTCATTTCAGCTACCTTTTCCCTAATGACCAAGATGATACCAAGGAGACCCTCTGTAAAACTCAGATTCATGTTTAGAAGTTGAAGGATTCATCACCATTGAGAAGGTAGAACTCGATACCTCAGGCTCTGGAAGCAAGTGTGGCAGAAAAGCAGCAGTCTTTGGAAGAAGGATGGGGCTGCTGAAGTGTGCTCATAACCTCCTTAGGTGATTAAGGGCTGTGCCAAACAGATAATGTGCTAATCATCCGTGGGCACATTGTTTGCACGCGCATGTGTGCTTAAGTCATTCTTCATAGTTATGTGCCATAGAGTCTTGCATTTCATATTACTTTTGGACCAGTCCTATTTATTTCATAATATTTTAAGGACATTATTTCTTTCATGGATGATTATAAATGTGTTTTTTTTTTCAGAGTACTGGAAATCTATCTAAATTTTGTCCTATAGCTAATCATGGGGGTTAGTACAGAATGTATTTCTAGGTGTGAGGACTAAACTGATACTTTAGAAAGACTCTAGTTAGTTTGTTTTAAAACTGAGGCTCACTCTGCAGCCTTTGGCCTAGGGGATGCTATGTAAACTATGTTAACCTGGAACTCACCTGCCTCTGCTCTGGAGTGCTGTGATTAGAGAGGTGCGCTACCACACCCAGTCCAAGAAGGCTCGAATTTACAATCAGTATTCAACTAGGAAATTTTCTTATTGTTTTAATACATTTGTTGGTGCTTTTATTGACAGAACTGAGGGAAGCATACGTCATCAAATGTGGAAAGCTTACATTTATAAGAAAAAAGGAAAATGAGAAAGACAGTCTTGTACTGTTAGAAACTTACTGGAAGAAAGGCACCCTAGCTGCTGAACTCACTTAGTTGGTTCTGGTGCAGACATGGCCCTACTGGGAAGCAGCATCCATGGCCATGGTGCCTGTCACACTTACTTGGTTGGAATCTCATACTTCTCAAGAGTTTTCTGATTTTAATTCAGCTATAAAATATGCTTTTCCTAGGAGGAAATTGGTAATTGTTGCTTTATTACAAAAATAAACTAAAATGCATATTTTTAAACATCTAAAATCCAGTTGGTAGTGAATGGCTCGTAGGTCTTGGGCCAGGGCGAGGGAGCCTGTACTTGTCAGCCAGTTTGATTTGTTTTGGTTTTTGAGATGACGTCTTACCATGTTGCCTGGCCCAGCCTAGAATTTGTGGTCTTCCTGTTAGTCTCTCAGGTAGCTGGGACCACAGCCATGTGTCACCATGCCTGGCTTGTCAAGTTTGTTTTAAATATTTGTCTCTATTGTACTTGCTGGTGTCCTTCCGTATTACTCATTTGTATGTGTTGTTTCCTCTGAGTCTGTCTACTCTGGGATGGTTAGCAGGATTGAGTTTGTGAACTCAGGAGATGCAGATTCATCAGAGTACTGTCCGGACGTTGGTGTAGCCTGGTGACTTTCCCATAGTGTGCTTTGTACATATATTGACCCTTCACCTTTGTATATGAACCGTGCTTTCACCCTAGCCATCTCTAAGTATGAACTATGACAGGCCTTGGGTCTTCAAAAGGATTGGAGGGTCATCATGTTACTTGAGGACTTAGTGGTGCTAAGCTATCTGTGGTTGACTTGTTAAACTGGATTGAGTTAGATTTTTCTATTATAGTTGATTCTGTAACTTTTATATAACATGAGCACCTAGATATTAGGATCCCCCTCTGGGGTAAATGGTAATGATTTGTAAAATGCCTGAATAGTAAAGATGTTACTCTGAGATGTTAGAATCTTCAACATTGACTCTTCATAGCATGAATATTAATTTAATGCTTATTAAATACCTACCTTATGCCAGGAAGAATTACAGTTACCAGGAATATAAATATTGTGTTCTGTGTATTTGAAGGGCAGCTGATTAAGCTTAGATTTGTGCAGTACACATAATTATGATAAGTGCTTTGCTGTAACTCTGGTAGAAAAGAGTGGAAACCATACAAAATAAAGAGTTCCCTATATAAAGAATTAGAACTAGGGAGAAAAGAAAAGGAAACAAGAAAACAAGAGAAGGGAGAAAGTTTAGGAACTGTGATGCCCCCAGAAGCCAGGAGTCCCTGCCACTGTAGCTGGCAGACCCGACAGCGGTTTGCCTTGACAGTTCTGTGGGTCCGCACACTTGTGATCACTTGTTAGCCATGGAAAAGCTCTTCTTTTCCTCCTTCCTTTTCACAGTCCACATGGACATACCTGCGGGATGCCTGCACTTCACAGATGGAGCTTCTGTGACCGTGACTTAAGTCACTTGTAATTGTTGGGATTACATTTGGGGATACATAGACATCCATAAGCCCAGAAAGAACAGTGCTTCCGACTACCTGGAGAGGCCTCTGTAGAGTAAGAAGAGGCAGAGAAAGTTCACGTAACCACACTTCTTGCTTGCTGGAATATTCTTTTGATTCCAGGAAGGTTTGCAAGTGCCATGTGCTGACTTATACCACAGAAATAAAAAGTAAAGTAGGGGAGTCTGTGTGAGTCTGTCATAAGTCACTATTGGTTTGTTTATTTCAGAGCACAAAGTTATCATTGTTGGGCTGGATAATGCAGGGAAAACTACCATCCTTTACCAGTTGTAAGTATTAATTGCTTAAAAATTTAATTTTGTTGTTTCTAGTTACTCTTTCTGCTTTTGTGATATTTGATCAATGTAAAGTTATGTGGCTCCAAGCAGACTAATCATAAGCCGGGAACTAGATTTAAACAACTGTTTATGGTGAGCTAGAAATTCATATGACATTTAGCATGCTCATTGTTTTGCGTGGAGCCCTTGCTTTTAGAAAACAGGAAAATGTTTGTTTGTACAGTTTGCCAGAGTGATCTATAATATTCTTAAGCCATTATTTATTTTGAGCTCTGTTTATGTTGTTAGCTGACTCGTATGAGCTCACAGGAAAAGGACACTGGGGTGTGAAATAGAGAAGTCATACTGACCTGTCCCTTGATGTCATCCTGAGATGAGCGAGCTTCCTCACTAATGTTGTGACCTTTTCCCTCCTAGTTCCATGAATGAAGTTGTACATACATCCCCTACAATAGGAAGTAATGTGGAGGAGATTGTGGTTAATAATACACGTTTCCTGATGTGGGATATTGGAGGTCAAGAATCGCTTCGATCTTCCTGGAACACTTACTATACTAACACTGAGGTAACGTTCTTAATGCTGACACAGCGTCCATGAGCATTCTGAGTCCTTGAGAAAGAAGCGTTCGGATCTGAGTCATTACAGTCCTTTAAAAACAGGACAGTGTTTTGACTTTAGAGTAAGCAGAGTCTACGTGCTTGACTCTAGTCGGCTTCCACTCCTTGTTTCAAATCCTTGACTGTATGCACACTATTAAGTCTCCATAGGGAGAATTGGTGGTTGATTGGTCAGGCTTTTGATCTAGTTGTTGCTTTTAAAGGACTTGCATCTCATGATTTCTGATTGCATTTCCTTCTCACTATTTATATGTGGCTAAGTGGGAGAAATCCTAGCCAAGTGAAAGGGCTCTTCTGTGGTTTGAGTCCTAGCCAGCTTTTGCTGTGTGTTTTCTTTTATGCAGTGCAGTTGCACTTAAAGAAATCTTTTGATTATAAAGCATTTTAGACATAATCATATGGCTTTACTTACATGTTATGTTACAAGAGAAAATTTCAAACCTGTGACTTACATTCATCATGTAGGCCTATAAATTGAAAGGTTGCACCAGTTGTTTCTGTGGTGTGGATTATAATGCCTTAAAAAATATTCTATACATATGTAAAGATATTTAAATCACTAATGATGCTACCAAGTGTCTCTCATACATAGCCTAACCCCAGCACTCCATTAGTATTTCATCATACGTTTGGAGGAAATGTGTGTATGGCTTATAAAGGCTTATGTAGTGCCCCCATATATATTGCTCCAGGTTTTAAATTATGTCAGCCTTGAAAAGGGTTTATTAAAATACTATCTGATAGAATGAGCATCACAATAATAAAGTCTTCTGCCAGAAAGCTAGCAAATGAAATCTTACAGTTTGAAAATGGAATAAAAAGGCTGAAAACCCAATGGTTTATTTGGAAATGATTACCTAGTTCTAAACAATAAAAACTGTTTTAGTAACAGGCAATATGGGCACTGTGAGGACAGTAACCGGACCTGGGCTCTGTTTCCGCCTTGTCTGTGGTGCTCTTAGAGCTAGGAGTGCAGGGATCTCTACTCCAGAAGAGCTGTCGGCTCCTCATCTGCTCAGGACAGGCCATGCTTGTGTAGCAGGGCCCTGGACATAGGAAGTTCTTGTTTTTAGATGCCAGTTGATCCTTTCAATTTGTTCATTTCAAGGATTCAAAGGATAGTAATAATACTTGTCTAAAAGCAACTTAAACGTAGGACCTTAAGTGTTTAATTTTGTTTGTTTGTTTTTTTAAATTGTATTAGAGTGTAAATATAAGGCTCTAGGCCCATTAGTATTTATGGAGTAATTTTGAAAAGAAAAAAGTGTTCTAGTTTGGTTAGAGTGTTAGTATCTTTTTTTTTTTTTTTTCTTAAAAATGAGTAAATAAATGTATTTGAGTTAGAAATGAGTCAGATCCTTGGGCTTAAATAAAGTGAGAATGATAAACATCCCTGGTTCTCTTACAATGCAAAAGATTTTAATGTCTTGATATTAGTATCATGTAAATAAATAGGTACCTTGAATTTTCAAATACCAAATTCTGTAAGTCACTAATGATCTTTTTGGTAATTATTTTAGTTTGTAATAGTTGTTGTGGACAGCACAGACAGAGAAAGAATTTCAGTAACTAGAGAAGAGCTCTACAAAATGCTTGCCCACGAGGTAAGTCTGCCTTTGTTAGTAGGTGGGGATGAGCATTGTATCACGTTTGATTTGCTCTTTGTAGTTTCTCTTAAGGAGTATTTCAGATCAAAAAAATAATTTATCTGTTGTTCATGCTTGCTTGTCATTCCTGCTTTGTGATTATGATACTTTCAAAATTTTAAATGTGTCTAGAAGCAGGAGGAAGAATGTGCAGACAATCATAGATTGATTTAGCTTTGATAAATCTGATTTAGATGTTTCACTGAGCAAAAAAAAATTTCTACAAGTAGCTTTTCTTTTACGTTTTGGGCAGATTATTTCTTTTTTTTTCTTCCTTTTTTTTTTTTGGTTTTTTGAGACAGGGTTTCTCTGTGTAGCTTTGCACCTTTTCCTGGAACTCCCTTGGTAGTCCAGGCTGGCCTCGAACTCACCGAGATCCTCCTGGCTCTGCCTCCCAAGTGCTGGGATTAAAGGCTTGGGCCACCACTGCCCGGCCGACAGATTATTCCTACAGTGGATTATCATTTGACAGTTTGACAGGTACATCACAAGTACTTGGCTATATAACGGTTCTTGAGTGTTCTCCATTATCAAACTAATATTTAAACTTAGTTACAATTAGTTTTTTTTGTGTTTTTTAATGTTGTCCCTTTCACCAAATGAAATTCTATGACTAGCTTCTAATTATGCTAAGTCCTTCAAAATACTACTAGGTACAGTAGTCAAAATTTAACTAAATTAGGGCTGTGGATGTAGCTCACTGGTAGAGTGCTGGCATGCATGAGGTCCAGACCTTGACAGGCCTCAAACTCACAGATTTCATTTGCCCCTGCCTGAGTACCTTAAGTAAAGGTGTGTACCACCACACACAGCGTCGCTGCAGAACACTCCCTATTGCAAACAAAGAAATTTCCTTTCCTAACCTATTGAGGCTGACAGCAACAGTAACCTGTGAATGTGAGAAAGGTTTAAAAGGCGTTTTGACAGGCAGATCCCATTCATTTAAGGAGACAGTGGCAGTGGCCTCCCGACATGGGCTTGGGCCCTTCCTTGCCATGGGCTTTTGTCTGCCTTACAGCACTAGTGAGTTTTCTCCTGTGGAGTCGGCCCTAAATCCAGTCGTCAAACAATAGCAGCCTCCTCACTACTACACTACTACATTTGGCTTTCTGTTGTTTTTCTGGGAATTCCAGTTTAACAGAAGTTTTATCACATTTGTCTTGGAGTAGCATGGACAGACCACCTTTGTTGGCTCACATTTTCCTTGGGATCCATAGGCAGCCAGGATTGCTGGTGACAGTTCTTCCCCAAGCAGCCTACAAGGTACCTTGTAGCACTGCAAAGAAAGCAGCCAGCCATCAGGAATGGAGCCCATTAACAGTTCCTTTTGTCTCCATATCCTGTAGCCAAAGCATGCACTGTCTTCAGCAGTAGGGACTCTCTCATTTGGGCCTGCAGCCTGGAGCAGTGGCACACCTTTATAGTCTGTGAGGCTTCAGGGTCTCCCTGGCTGATTACTCATTAAGAGGCTGCCCGCCGCCTCTGGTATTGGACTTTTTGCCCAATCACCTTACGGCTCCTAAAGTACCTACCCCACTCATGTCTGTCTTAGTTTCTTTTCTTGTAATAAAACTACTCTGATCAAAAGCAGCTTACGGGAGAACGGGTTTGTTTTAGCTTAACAGTTCCAGAGGATGTAGTCAGTCATGGTGGGGAAGACATCGCAGCAGGCAGGAGCAGGGGGCTGGCTGGTCACATGCACCTACAGTCAAGAAGTAGAGAAGACCAGTGGGAAGTGGACTGCGCTATACAGCTTCAAGTTACCCTGGGAACTTCATTCCTCCAGCAAGGCTCTGTTCCTGAAAGTTCTGTCAGCTTCCCAAACAGCATCACTTGTGGGAAGCAAGTGTTCACACATATGAGTTGTGGGGAGCATTTCACATTCAAATTATAACACACAGAGTACCTTATTTATTCAAAACTGCAGTCTTCACTGTTTTGAGTGTTTTTACAAATCTGTAGAACAAGTGTTAGCATCATGTAATGAAATCTTTTTACAAAGCATAGTCAGGATCTCTGAAAAAACACCATAGTAAATGCCAGTTGATCTTGGATGGCTGAAGGGGTACTAAAAAGGAAACATTAGCAGAATGCAGTACAGCATAAAAAGATCTCATCATATCTGTCAGTTTTGTTGTTAAAAGAGCAATGTTGAGAACAGCGTAGATGGGAGACATTGCCCTTTAGTCCTCTGTAATCCAAAAACAGTTGCCATGAGCCGTCCTACTTCCTTGTCCGTGTTATTGCTGCCACTTCAAGGCTGTTTCCTGTTTCTTTAACACCAGCAATCTTAGCAGGACTGCCTTGCACTGCTCAGCTTGGGTCAGGACCAAGTGGGCAGCAGAGTGCTTTTATCAGAGTGTTTTTATTACACTTGCCTGCTCTGTCTGGCATTGGAGTCAGCTCCTAGGTTCTGACATGCTCTAGGCCATCATTGTGCCATTGCTTTTGTATCAGACAAACCCGGCTGCTGAAAAGACTATACTGGCCAGTCTCCACTCCTGGTGTGCTTTTACATGTATACACTGGGGCTATAATTGCCCACCCCAAGGCGAGCTTATCACTTGGCTGTTGTATCACTTATATCTTCTGTAAACTGCTGCTCCAGCTTTTTAAACCTTCTAGAAATATAATAGCACAACATTTGACTTTCTGTTTTTTTCTGGGAATTCCAGTTTAACAAAAGTTTTATCACATTTGTCTTGGAGTAGCATGGACAGACCACCTTTGACCTTCTCTCATTCCCTCTTGATTGCTTTACCATTTTGCAAACCTGGTCCACATGCCAGTCTCCATTTAGATTCCTGAATCAAGACTAACCTCATAAAGATCATGTCCCACCATAGGGCTTAGCAATGGTAGGGTACCAACCATTGTACCAAAGTTCACATGATGAATTTATTGACTTGCATACAGGAGCATAGGTAAGGGGTTACTTAAAGTAACATGGCTGACACAAAGGTAGTATTTCCCAAAAGCCCATACTATGCTGGTTGACTTCCTCATGAAAGCAGCAGCCTTGGAGTTCCTTGCAACTTTTAAATAGCTCTGATGATCCAGAGAGTTTCTTTTCCCCAGTAGTCATTACTGGCATGTAACCCTGGGGAAGAAGCCCTTTTTTGGTATATCTTAGAAGTTTCAAGAGCTTTCTGAGACTTATGAGTTGTTTACTTCCTGATTTCTTAAGGTGTCTCCTTCAGGATACAATGTTCCAGTTGGGAGGAAATTGTTACACAACAGATGTGTAGAATAAAATTTTTATTTCAGTGGAACTTGGTAAAGTCTAAGAAAATTGGGATACTTACAGTGAAGTTGTATGTTACCATTGATTCAGTGATTTCTTTTGAGTTTTGCTTTACAAACTTTATTTTGTTTCAGGTTGATTTTCAAGAGTTTAGGAAACCTGATAAAAAGTGGTTTCTGTAAATTAAGAATACATGTTTGCTTTTAGTGATTGTGGTGGTTTGAATGAAAATGGCCCCCATAGGCTCATAGGGAGTGGCACTATTAGGAGTGGCCTTTTGGAGTAGGTGTGACCTTGTTGGAGGAAGTGTGTCACCAAGGGTGGGCTTTGAGGTTTCAAATGCTCAAACCAGGCCCAGTGTCACGCTCTCTTCCTGCTGCCTGTGGATCCAGATGTAGAACTCTCAGCTACCTCTCCAGCACCATGTCTGCCTGCATGCCACCATGCTTCCTACCATGATGACCATGGATTAAACCTCTGAACTATAAGCCAGCCCCAGTTAAAGGTTTTCCTTTATAAGAGTTGCTGTGGTCATGGTCTCTTCACAGCAATAGAAACCCTAACTGAGCCAGTGGTCATAGCTTCCAATGTGTGCTCTTGCCTATTGGGGGCTCAAATTCTGGAATTCATGTCAAACCTTTTGGGGTTTAGAAAATACATCTTAGGGGGCTGGAGAGATGGCTCAGTAGTTAAGAGCACTGACTGCTCTTCTAGAGGACCTGGGTTCAATTCCCAGCACCCAAATGGCAGCTCACAACTGTCTGTAACTCCAAGATCTGACACCCTCACACAGACATACATGCAGGCAAGAAAATAAAATAAAAAAAGATTTTTTTTATTTGCAACTGAATTTTATAAAAAGAGACAAAACATTCTTCAATTTATTTCAGAGTGGTGTTTTATGGAGACTTTAGAAGGTGAAAACACACATATATGGTGTCTCTTGAATATGTATGTATACCTGTAGCAGGAAATTTCTGTGATTGCTTACTCATTGGCTGATATATAGCAAGCTTGGTGTTTGAACCTTTCTACCCAGGGACATGAACTTGGCTCCTTTTCTCTCCCTTGTCTGTTATACTGAGGCCCAGAAAGTTTATGTGGCTGACCAGTTTTTTAAAGGGCCAGGATCTGAACATAACAGCTATGTTGTGTTCTTGAATGTTATTATATAATATAATATATTATATTATTATATTATATGTACAAATACTCTTATTTAGACCCATAGCTAGGAGACAATAAAAAGGAGAAAAACGAAGTACAGGGCTGACTAGAAAGTGAAAGGAGGCTGAGTAGGGAGATCGGGAGAAGCATTAAAGATGGTGTGGGGCCACAGGAGACTCCTTGGTGGGCTGGAGCCGAGTCATCAGGTAGAGCTCTGGCGAGTGACAGACGGTGACAGAATGAAAGCACATGGATGGAGTTAGTTGGATGTTTCATAGTTACTATAACACAATCTTTGTTGTGGTTTTCATAACAGGGTTTTTCTCTGTAGCCCTGGCTGTCCTGGGACTTTTCTGTAAACTAGGCTGGCCTTGAACTCAGATCAACCTCCCAAGTTCTGAGATTAAAGGCATGGGAAAATGACTCTTCTGTGCATTCCAAAACATAAAACTATAAAAAGGTTTTAAAAGCATCTCAAGGCTTCATCTTTTAAGAAATATTAAGCTTTGAATATAATTAATTTTAAAATAGTTTCAGACACCAAAATATAAAATTTTCTTTAGAATGACTCAAATTCTAGAAGTAGTCTTCACAAATGAAGCTTCGTGAAACAAAGTGACAGTATTGGACTATGACAGAGAAGTAGATGTTTGCATTTGTTGCTGTTTGCTTGACTAAACTAATAGATGTGTCAGATACTTTTCTTTTTCTGTACGGGCCATTGGACCTAGGGCCTTACATGTGCCTGGCAAGTACTCTGCCCCTGAGCTATGTCCTCAGTCTTTAAAAATCATGTTTGTTTTTGCCAGAGTCTCATTAAGCTACCCAGGCTGGCCTTGAACATGCAGTCAGCATGCCTCTGCCTCTCAGATACTTGTGAGATTGTGGGCCTGCACCATCAGGCCTGGGTAGCTCACATTCTTAAGATCAGATGTGTAGTTTGTATAGTAGAGGACATTTAAATTAGCTTGTGAACGAAAGATTACCATTGTTTACCCTAAATTTTGATAGTTTACAAATACAATTTAATAAGAGGCTTTAATCCAATATGCTTTTTGTTATTGTCATAATATTACCTTTGGTCTTGAGGTTCTATAATAAAAAGCAAAGATTCTCTCTTCATCCTTCTAAATATTTAAAAAGGTAAAATACCTGTTTTATGGTTGTTGTTGTTGTTGTTGTTGTGATCATTTTAAATAATCATGAACTCCATTGATGCCAGTCTGAGATACATGAGATTCTCCTAAAGTGTGGGTTTTGAGATCTAAACAAGAAATTACAGTTTTAATTTAGAGACCCTTTTTATTTATTTTTATTGTTGTATTTATATGGAGTGCATGCCTGTATGTGTGAGTGTGTGTGTGTGTTCACATGCTGTGGAGGCCTGATGTTGATATTGAGTGTCTTCTTAGATTCAGCTCCATCTTTAGAGAGGCAATCACTAGCTGAACTTGGAGCTCTATGTTTGGGCATACCTGGCTATGCAACTTTCTCTGGGGAGTCCTTGGCTCCACCTCCCACACACACTGGGAGTATAGGCAGGCTCCTCTCCTCTCCTCTCCTCTCCTCTCCTCTCCTCTCCTCTCCTCTCCT